ACCCTACCCTCCGCCCTCGGTGCATCTGACGCCCCAGTTCCTGCGCCTAGTAGCTCTCTTCCACCGGCAGTTGCGGTATGTATACATTTTGTTCATAACTTGGTGTGTGTGGTGTGGCAAATGGTTAGCGCATCAAAACTACTTATTGAAATCCATTAAGTAGTAAGAAATTAATAATGTAGGCATCCAGCAGACTGCACTAGGGCGCACATTGTCAGTGGACGTGCCTGGATTCGCTAGTGCGTCTCTTCCACAGACAGTTGACGTACGTGTATTTATCGCCGTTGTTTTGCACCCCGAGGAATGATATCGCGTAGTCCTTACACCGACCGTCACTGAGACTTGCCGACTGCATGCATACCCGAAACCGCTTTCAGACATGAGATTTAGGGGGACGGGGGTAATTGTGCGATCCCTTCAGATGGTGCTTTCGCCTGATGAATGGGAGGATGGGACGCACGAATTGCGCAGTGGCGCTGGTATAGTAATTGTCCATTGTTGTAAAAATGTTAGTCATATTATGTTAGTACAACTTAATTATGTTATGTTTGTGTTGGGTGAACGGCTTTTGAGTCCAGTTTTATTACGGGGAGGTCAGGCGAATGCATTTACGATACCGTTGCAAAGAATATCGATATATACAGGTTGGCAATCGAATTTCATAAAACTTTCTGGTAACTGCTAGTATGTGTAAATATGTGTGCGATGTGGCAAAGTGGTACCTGCATCAAAACTAATTACTGAAATTTCAGAAGGTAAATTGGCGAACATACGTTTGTTTTCGATAAATTCTCTTCAGGCCTTTACATTTATATGGTACTTAAGTAAATAAACTATGCGTTTGGTAGAAAAAAGTGCGATTATCAGGGTAGGTCAAGCTGTAACAACCTCCTTTCCGGCGGCCAACGCCCATGTACTATTCTCGTCTACTCTCATCCTGTACGGAAAGGTCAAGGATGAACTGCCAGCCCGGACCACCTCTATGTGCATATATTCATTTGCCTGCTCCTGTGGGGCAGGATATATTGGTCACAGGAGCCGCCGTTTATCCAAGAGCGTATGTGAACACATGTCAGCATGGTTAGGGAAAGGCCATGTAAAGGGTATAAACAGCTCCATTCTAGCGCACCTAGTAGACTCAGGCCCTCGCATGGATGCTAAAGAGGCCTTTCGAGTGATCTAAAAGGTGCTCTAAAGCTATTTGCACTTCATTGGACGGCATCTGTTGATACGACAGAAGCGGCCGCCATCAGGCTACGCCGACCGATCATGTGCGCGCAAAGTAACTTCGCTAATCCAACAGCCAGTAGCTTATCACCCAGTTCGACTACCAGTCCTCGTTAACGCTGATCAGATTTTTACCC